CACGGGTAATCTAGAAGATTTAAGCGATGTCGACGTTAGTAGACTCATTAAAAACACTTCGTACAATATTACTCACAACGACGATAATAAATGGACTATGGTTGAAGCAAACATCGAGTGGCTACTGAATATCGTCATTACCCCACCTTATGTGATGATGGGTAAGGGACATAATTTAACTAAGATAATAAATAGTGGCATCGTACTCGCGGCTTATATCCCATCAAAACGAAAAAGTGTGTTAGTTACCCCCCTGCCAGAAAACCCAGGTCATATGATATATAGTCGTCCGGCCTTAAAAAATGTTACTTTAAATTTGGTTACTGAATTCGAAGATATTAAAGATAACTTGAGTGCAATACCTAATCTTTCTACGCTTATTATTGAAGTCTTGTTCGGAGATGCACCGGAAGATGCCTTCGAAATATTACCAGGTCTATCGATTAAATGGCTAAAGAAACACCAACGTCAACGTTGCAGTATTATTCATATCGGAGCATCGCCCGTTGCAACCCTCGAGGGGGTCCAAATTATTAAAAGTGACAGTATTTCTCTTTCTAAGATATTCTTGCCGTATAATATACATTTGATAAGGTTGATGTATAGTCTCAAAACATTTAAGCAAGACCAATTAAAGACTATTATATGATCGTTATATACACTATGAGTTTATATCCGGCGCTCAATGAAGCATTTGAAAAGATGGATACCGTTGATGGATTTCGATTACATCAAATAAGCGACATAAAACATCGAATAGGGAAGGAGAGGGAGTTGAGACTTGGATTGTATAAAAAGTATCGCAGAGCCGTGAATGCTCTGGACGGAGTTGACACCGCTCTTGTAGCGGCTAGCATGGGACTCGGTGTAGCGGGTATCGGTTTACTATCAACTATAATCGCCGCGCCTATCGTGCTCGGCATGGAAATAACCGCTGGAGTCTCGGGACTGGCAGGAATAGCGATAAAATTCATTTCTCGTAGGTTACAAAAGAAAGCATTAAAACACGATAGTATTCGGATACTCGCCGAAGCAAAGTTGAACAGCATCGAGGATCATATTTCGACAGCAATGGCCGATTGTAAGATATCCGAGGATGAGTTTCGTTTAGTGCTGTCGGAACTCAACAAATACAATAAAATGAAGCAGGAGATTCGATCAAAATCTCGTAAGACCAGTGGTATTAGCGAAGACGAGAAAAAAAAGTTCATAGAAGAGGGGAGGCAACAAGCGCGTCAATTATTCCGTGCCAAAACCAAAGAACTGGTTGGAGATTAAAAATAGATTGTTTACTATCGTGTGATTACATTTAGACAAATGCTAACATAAATATATAATAATGGAGAAAGCTATTCAATGGAAAGAATTACCACAAGGTTTTTATTATATCAGTGATGTCAAACCAACCAAATACGGTTATCGATTGTTTCTTATCAATTTACAAAAAGAGTGTAGTTATATAGTCTGGTCTCCTAGTAAAATGAACGAAGAACTTAATAAAAATGTTGAATATCGCTTTATCGATAAAAATAATAAAGAATATTTTTATTACCATTTAGACTCATCTAAAGCAATGATTGGCCCCAGGTATTGGTAGTGGTCCAGAACCATCATTACCTATAAAAATTTATATAATTGACTCCACCTAGAGCCAATTTAACTTAATCTTATGACTATCATTAAATCGCATCATCATTTTGGCATAAAAAATTCCTCCTGTAGTAGCAGTATAGGTATATGAATCCTGCTCCAGTGGAGTTGCGGCAGAACCATCATTACCTATACTACTAACGTGTCTTGGGCATGCTTCAAGTTGGTACGCCAAGTAGAGTCGTTGCACAACGATTTCAATGTCATCATTCAACAGTCCTCATGCTACTGAGCATATACCAACAGACAAGAACCACCAGAGATTGACCACGTCCGGGTCAACGTCGTGTAACTACACCACGTCAAGATCGCCATATTGTTCGTCGGCATCTTCGTGATCGTACACTTCCGGCTACCAGGACTGCAGCAACCCTACAAGGCCGACGGGGTTTGATCAGCGCTGACACCGTACGTCGACGTCTCCGCTCAGAAGGGCTACGTGCTCGACGTCCATATGTTGGACCCATACTCACTGATCGACATCAAAATGAACGTCTGCGTTGGGCAAAAAGGCATCGTCATTGGAGATTGCGGCAGTGGCATGGTGTGCTGTTCTCTGATGAGTCCCATTTGACGGTCGACTGCGAGTGTGGCGTCGACGTGGAGAACGTTACCACAATGACTGCGTTGAACAGACAGATTGATGGTGGGGAGGGAGTGTCATGCTGTGGGGCGGCATCAGCCATAACCATCGAACAGAGTTCAGTGTTTGTCGTGGAAGAGTTAATGCCCTTTACTAGAGGAATAACATATTGGCAAATCACGTCATCCCATTCTCTCAACAGCACCAGGATATGCACACCTTCCAGCAAGATAATGCGAAAGCGCACACAACATGTGTTTCAACACAATACCTATCGAACAATAATGTGCCTCTGCTTCCTTGGCCAGCCCTGTCACCCGAGGTGAGGTGAGGTGAAATGGGGTTAAACGTCGCGTCCAAGATTATTGCACTTATATAGCGACTTGTGTGTGTGTGTGTGTGTGTGTGTGTGTGTGTGTGTGTGTGTGTGTGTGTGTGTGTGTGTGTGTGTGTGTGTGTGTGTGTGTGTGTGTGTGTGTGTGTGTGTGTGTGTGTGTGTGTGTGTGCTTGTACTAGTCCGGACTGATGCCGATATATAGTGCTAGCCCACTGAGGTTGAAATGGGGTTAAACGTCGCGTCCAAGATTATTGCACTTATATAGCGACTTGTGTGTGTGTGTGTGTGTGTGTGTGTGTGTGTGTGTGTGTGTGTGTGTGTGTGTGTGTGTGTGTGTGTGTGTGTGTGCTTGTACTAGTCCGGACTGATGCCGATATATAGTGCTAGCCCACTGAGATACCATGCCGCAGTTTAACATGAATACCCCACTCAGACACAGTATACTGACTCCGAGCCGACCAGTCCTTGTTTTAGCCCCTTAATGCCAAGCGCCAGACAGGGTAACAACAAGTTCCATCTTTTAACGTCTTTTGGTATGATGCGACAACTGTTTTCTATTCCTGTTTCCTTTGTCGTCTTTCTTAATAATCCGTCTATGTCTGTTCTAATTAAAATCGGTCATTGCTCAAGTTGTTTTTGTACTATTTAAAGATTTATTGCTGGTGCGTTTTTAATGCTGTTCAGTTTATGTACAGCGAACTGCAAATAGGACATACATGGGCAAAAAAGGAAAAAAAACGAGACTAAAACTAAACCAAAAAATGTAGCGCTATTACGGAATAATACACTTGACGGACATGAATGTCATCTTTATTCATGGTTGGTAGAAGCGTATCTTCATTTTTCCGGTGGTCGTTGAGAAAGTGTGATGTCTGATGTGACAGGTGTTTCCCGCAACTGACGCACAGAGGAGGCAACAATCACGAAGCACACTTGATGGCAATGAAGTACACACGCGGCTATCACGCACTGATAGATAACGATGACTCCTTATCTTCAGACAACACGACTGTGTAACATATGCGCTGTCGATTTGAGGAGGGAGGGGACAGGAGTAATAATGTTAAAGTACCCTGTGAACAATATATATATATAGGCGACAAACAACAGCAGTATGTGTGACGTCATAATGCCTATGACGTAACAGTGACAATAGAGTGGTACATTATGGTGTGAGAGCACAAATACACATTGATCTTCATGGGGAGGTTTTGAAAATTATACTTTTGAATTAAGTTTAGGTTTCTAATGAACATCTATTCTTTTTTCCATTTGGAAATGTTTGGCATTGTTAAACAATTTATAAAACGGAAAGACACTAAAATTGCCACTCCCGCATTCATCAATTTGTTTGCTTACATTTATACAACGTACATTTGGATCACGAATTGCTGTCTGTGTACATACCAGTTTGTCCAATATAATGCTCACCACATCCCGCACATGTTAAAACATATATAACACCTTTATTGCGGCAGTTCATGTTGTTTTGGACAGTAAATAGTTTACATGTATCTTCGCAAAATTGAAATTTTCTGTCTTGAATTATTATTGAGCAAGTTTCACATCGAGGTGTGTGACATTTTGTTACACTGATGGTACTTGTATTTTGTAAGCATTTGGATGAGATTTTAGGCTGTTTAGCGCTTCGTATAAGTTACTCTTGAGTATAACTGTGACGTCATAGGCATTATGACGCCACACATACTGCTGCTGTGCGTCGCCTAAGACTACGTTTACGTTTTCCATACACCTGAAGAGCTGTTGAGCGGCGAAAGATCTTGTGTGCATAAAGGGGTTTTGACAAGCACAAGAATCTGAGCTGTTTTTGTATCTTTAATGCTTATGCACCTGAAAAAATCACTTGTTTATATAGCTTATACAAACGAAGAAAACCAATGTATATTTAAATGAAGGTATGAAGCGTTTTAGCTTTTAGTGTTTGAAGGCAGAAAGCCAAGGTGACGCACGCTGCCGATTTTTGTGAATCCCACAAGGACTTTGTGGTGCTGACAACCAATAAGTGCACACGGAATGAATTTGGATTATTTCCCATACCCAGCCGAACAGGAAATGTCGCGCCTTGAAAAGTTCCACCTGACTTCTAATCCAACAGAAAGGCCTGATCAACAATAAATTACTTAAATTAAATGAAGTAGGGCGATTGGGTAATTGAATGTTTTTTTCGAAAAAGGTTATATCATAATTACCTCAGGACGGCTTGCCGTACAGAATGTATTGTGAAAATAGATTGTCGGCTCCTCTTACCTTGGACATGGTGGATGACCTGTAAGAATGTGTTATGAAAATACATTTCACGGCTCATTTCAGAGAAGAAAGTTTCGAAGCAATGACCATTCACCTCAACCCCTCTAGCCCAGAGGCTTAGATCAGCAAAGAAATTGTGAAATGATGTAATATTATACTTACCAACAAGAGTCACCAGCAAAATGAAGATAGAGCATCGAGTCATCTCTAGAGTGTTACCTACTGCGTCATACACTGGGGCTTATATTGAGTATGGGTGTCAAATGTAATTCAAGACTGCACTTCAGACTGTGTCGTTCACACCTCGGCTCCACGTTTCACAATCGCTGCAACATATGGCGGGTAAAGGTAACATGAGTAGTCAGTTTTATTTGAAACACGCGGTCGTATTGGGATACTGAAAAACAAGCCAGTCTAACTGTTGTTCTATTGTTGTATCACGTCTCTGCGTATCACTAAGATAAGAATGTACACGGCAGTTCTTGAAATTTCGAAATATCTGCCGAGCCTTAGATGTAAGGTATATTGTTTTTGTTTGTCTAGAAACATAAAGTAACATCACAACAACAATGACAACTTTTTTGCAGGGAAACCTCGTTAAACTATACTTGACTGAATGTTACTGACAAACCAGGAAACAGAAATACGCCTTCTGTGAAACGCCTTGACCTTTCATATCATTTCAAACTTTTTTCTATCATGGTCCGACGATTAATATATTGTACTGTATATGAACTGTACTGTACTGTATTGACATTGTAATGACTCCTTTTTACTTTTGATAAAATTTGATTACTGTTTTGAATTTAATAGAAACGGTTAATTTGTTATTTTTGATGCAATGATTAAACTTGCTCCCAGATGTAGTGCTAAAGATCTGAATAAAAACAGATTTGATGAGCATATGATAATCATATTGTTTAGAGGATATCTGATATTATATTTGATGGATGCATGGTACTTTATCATGTCGTATGATCGCCTGTTAAGATGAAATGCATACCTCCTCTAATATAACATGCTGACAACAGAGTCTGTTCACACGATCTGACAAAAAAGAACCGTCATCCACGCACATACATATGGGGCTAGTATACTGTATCTGTTGCGGCAGAGCTTCACATGAGGCACGGATGGCCCAGTCGTCTGATACGTCGCAATTCGATGTGCAGAGTTGCGTCCCTTTGGCACGGCAGAAACATATGATTGTGGGTTCGAATCCCGGCTGTTCCTAGGTTTGTCAGCACCATACCCGTGCTCGTGGGTTTCACCGAAGTGGTAAACGTCTGAGACCTGCATCACTTAGGGCTTTCCTCCCACATTAAGCTGACACGCCGTGATATAACTGAAATACTGTTAAAAGCGGCGTTAAACCCAACTCACTCACTCACTCACTCCTGAAGGACAAATCCTTACATATGATCATACCTTCGCGGCGCCTTTGACGACTGGGCCACCCGTGCCCCCTGTCCTTCGGGAAGTTGGTTTGTCAGAGCAGTCGAGAAGGTTATAGCTGTAAGTATATGTTTAGTGTACAGCTGTTGTGGTCTAATCCAGAAATGTGGAAGCAGTTATATTGGAATAACGAAAAGCAAGCCAGTGGAACTATTGCCATTATTGTATTTTAATTGTTTGTGTCATACTATTTTAATCTTGCTCACGACCCTTCTTCAAATTAGGAAATATCTGTCAAACCTGAGTTTACAATTTCTTACTTCCGATGTGAGGGACGATATTGTTATTTCTCACATTAGAAACAAAAATTAACATAAAATATAAATGATTTCATGTGTGTAGGAAAACCTGGATAAACTACACCTGGCTGAGTGTTTCTGATAAAAAATAGAAATAATATAAATAGGCTGAATTCAGCATACGACTGACTTATTATTATGGGTTTTGTAATGTGAAGACAAACGTAATGCATTTCTTCAAGTATAAGTGAATGATTTAAATTTTAACTTCGCATCGGTGTGGTCCGTCACATACCGTCGCTTCTTCATGTAAAATGTGTTTAATCGTGTTACTTAAATATTTAAGTTTTACTTCTAATACATGCAACCAGAGGCAATATTTTTATATTAAACAGTCCGAAAACACTTCCGAATGTGACGATGGGACAGGATACATTTACCTTATCGCGAACACCTGTTATCATTACTATTTGATAGAGATTCGTAAACACATGCTCATGATATAGTGGGAATCGCACAATCGACTCTGCTTTATGCAGAGATTTCTATTGGACATGGTAAGGGTTTTGTCGCTTTGTTATCAGGATAAGAATATTGCATTTGCATCCGTGTGTACTTCTTGATGTCATCTGTATCAGAAAGGAATATCGTTCATGGAATGGTTTTGAAATGACAGTTCAATACGCATCGCACTGATAAAACAGTGGTAGTGTAAATATTCAGCTTTAAAGCTCGTCACAACAACACCTAGTTCGCTTCCTCACATGAGACCCGGCCTCAGACTAGTTGAAAAGGCAAGATAGTATACAGGTTTACCTGTATCGAAAACAAGAACATTTACCGCTCCTTGGCACAGTAGCTGGTGACTCGCGAAAAATCAATACTGTTTGTAGCGAGTGAGTAGCGATGACTTCACGTTTCGTCAGTCTTCATGCTTCAATTCAAACACACATTTCACTCTAACAATAGACACAAGAGTCTCTGTAAAGATTTAAAACTGAAACGATGAACTGAGGCGTGAAACAAAGGTGGGCAACTCCCGCCATTTCATGTCACAGACAAGGAGACAGTCTCAAACTATTTTGTAAATTATGTTTCCGATTTTGAAAGTTAAAATTTATATGTTTTACCCATCGTCGCGTGGTCATGCTTGGTGATGCTGATCACTAGATTGTCTGGTCCAGACTCGATTGTTTTTAAGCCGCTGCCCTGTGGCTGGACATCGCGGCGTGGACAGCAGACAACAAACGATCAGCTTTTTTAAAATGAACATTTGTGTGGGTGGTGGATGTTACAAGTAACAGGACAGGACAGGACAGGACAGCAGGACATACTGTTTTCACCAACACATGCAGACATGACTGATTTCCAGTGATGAATGTAATCTTCATCACTATTTTGCCATTTACGCCCAATGAAACTGTTACTCTGACGTTAACGTTTAAAATTTACGCAAAATCTCACGAATTCGGTTTAATTACTCACAGCATGCGGATGGTGTCAAAGATACCATTTTTCTGTATCGCAGAAAACGCGTAGGGTTTAGCAGAAGTTTGCTTAGACTTTTATGATATATTTATAGTATTTAAGGTAAAGTCAAATCAAGATATATCATGATCAGTGTTAGCATGCAATAACTAAAAAAGAAAAAATATGAGCGACATGAACCCATTCTGTCATAACACCTAAACACATAGTTTGCACATGCGTTGGGTGTCATTCCTTTTTTTGACACTTTCAAGGGATGTCATTTAATCTCACTGGACAATATTGATTCTGCATGTCATACCATTGTGATTTACTTGATTTCATTCATTCTTTGTGTATGTATAATAAAAACTTTAACGTAGTCATAGGCGACGAACAACAGCAGTATTTATGGCGTCATAATGCCTATGACGTAACAGTGACAATAGAGTGATACATTATGGTGTGAGAGCACAAATACACATTGGTCTTCATGGGGAGGTTTTGAAAATTATACTTTTGAATTAAGTTTAGGTTTCAAATGAACATCTATTCTTTTTCCATTTGGAAATGTTTGGGATTGTTAAACAATTCATAAAACGGAAGGACAGTAAAATTGCTACTCCCGCAATCATCAAATTGTTTGCTTACATTTATACAACGTGCATTTGGATCACGAACTGCTGTCTGTGTACATACCAGTTTGTCCAATATAATGCTCACCACATCCCGCACATGTTAAAACATATATAACACCTTTACTGCGGCAGTTCATGTTGTTTTGGACAGTAAATAATTTACATGTATCTTCGCAAAATTGAAATTCTCAGTTTTCAATTATTATTGGACAAGTTTCACATCGAGGTGTGTGACATTTTGTTACACTGATGGTACTTGTATTTTGTAAGCATTTGGATGAGATTTTAGGCTGTTTAGTGCTTCGTATAAGTTACTCTTGAGTATAACTTTGACGTCATAGGCATTATGACGCCACAGATACTGCTGCTGTGCGTCGCCTATGACTACGTTTACGTTTTCCCTAAACTGAAGAGCTGTTGAGCGGCGAAAGATCTTGTGTGCATAAAGTAGTTTTGACAAGCACGGATATCTGGACTGTTTTTGTATATTTAATGCTTATGCACCTGAAAAAATCCCTTGTTTATATAGCTTATACAAACGAAGATATATATATATATCAGTTTTCTCTTCGGCTGGGTATGGAAAATAATATACGAAGGTATGAAGCGTTTTAGCTTTCAGCGTTTAGAGGCAGAAAGCCAAGGTGACGCAGGCCGCCGATTTTTGTGAATCCCACAAGGACTTTGTGTTGCTGACAACCAATAAGTGCACACGGAATGAATTTGGATTATTTCCCATACCCAGCCGAAGAGAAAATTGCCGCGCCCTCTGACATCCAACAGAAAGGCCTGAGCACCAATAAATTTCTTAAATTAAATGAAGTAGGGAGATTGGGTAACTGAATGTTATATCATAATTACATCAGGACAGCTTGCCGTACACAATGTATTGTGAAAACAGATTGCTTGTCTCCTTTCAAGTCCTGCAAAACTCCCTTCAGCCACCCACTTTCCTTCGTCCCACCCCTGGGGCGGTCGGGTAGCCTAGTGGTTAAAGCGTTCGCTCGTCACGCCGAAGACCCGAGTTCGATTCCCGACATGGGTACAATGTGTGAAGCCCATTTCTGGTGTCCCCCGCTGTGATATTGCTGGAATATTGCTAAAATGTGAGGTAAAACCATACTCACTTGTCCCACCCCTATATCAATTGCTCAGTCCCAGAACATTCAAAACAGGTTTTTTGTGGGGGTAGATCATGTATTAATCTTTGGGTATCAATCTACTACTAATAATAGAAACGCATGGTTTATGAAAGAAATTAGTAAATAAAGAAACGTGAAGCAAGCATAAACACATTAATAATGTCGATGTTGGAAACACCAAAACGAAGCAAAGACAAATTGTATAGCCCCAACGGAACAATAAAGAAAATTAGTAACATGAGAAGAACGGATACACATTTATGTCTAGATGGTGTGTGGGTCACAGTGAACCCTACTCCCCCAGTAATGTAACTATTATTACACGACGTGATACAACTGGAATACTGTGCCAAACTGTTCCAGTTTCCCCCCGATTATAGTAAAAAAGTAACTCGTTGTAAGTTGGACATACTGGATGTCCTGTAAGAATGTGTTATGAAAATACATTTGACGGTTCATTGCAGAGAAAAAAATGTGTTTCGAAGCAGTGACCATTCACCTCAACCCCTCTAACCCAGATCAGCAAAGAAATTGTGAAATGATGTAACATTATACTTACCAACAAGGGTCACCAGCAAAATGAAGATAGAGCATCGAGTCATCTCTAGAGTGTTACCTACTGCGTCATACACTGGGGCTTATATTGAGTATGGGTGTCAAATGTAATTCAAGACTGCACTTCACACTGTGTCGTTCACACCTCGGCCCCACGTTTCACAATCGCTGCAACATTAGCGAGTAAAGGTAACATGAGTAGTCAGTTTTATTTGAAACACGCGGTCGTATTGGGATACTTAAAAACAAGCCAGTCTAACTGTTGTTCTATTGTTGTATAACGTCTCTGCGTATCACTAAGATCAGAATGTACACGGCAGTTCTTCAAATTTGAAAATATCTGCCAAGCCTTAGATGTAAGGTATATTGGTTTTGTTTTTTTTAGAAACATAAAGTAACATCACAACAACAATGACAACTTTTTTTGTATGGAGACCTGGCTAAACTATGCCTGACTGATTGTTACTGACAAACCAGGAAACAGAAATACGCCTTCTGAGAAACGCCTTGACCTTTCATATCATTTCAATCTTTTTTCTGTCATGGTCCGACGATTAATATATTGTACTGTATATTGAAACATGACACTGTAATGACTCTCTTTTACTTTTAATAAAATTTGATTACTGTTTTAAATTTGATAGAAACGGTTAATTTGTTTTTTTTAATGCAATGATTAAACCTGCTTCCAGATGTAGTGCTAAAGATCTGAATAAAAACAGATTTGATGAGCATATGATAATCATATTGTTTAGAGGATATCTGACATTATATTTGATGGATGCATGGTACTTTATCATGTCGTATGATCGCCTGTTAAGATGAAATGCATACCTCTTATAATATAACATGCTGACAACAGAGTGTGTTCACACGATCTGACATGGGAACCGTCATCCATGCACACATACATATGCAGGTATACTGTATCTGTTGCGGCAGAGCTTCACATGAGGCACGGGTGGCCAAGTCGTCTGATACGTCGCCATTCGCTGAGCAGAGTTGCGTCCCTTTGGCGCACCAGAAACATCTGATTGTGGGTTCGAATCCCGGTTCACCCCGACTGTTCCTAGATTTGTCAGCACCATACCCGTGCTGGTTGGTGTCACCAAGTGGTAAACGTCTGAGACCTGCATCACTTTGGGCTTTCCTCACATTAAGCTAACACGCCGAAATATAACTGGAATACTGTTAAGTGCGGCGTTAAACCCAACTGACTCACTCACTCACTCAGAGCGTCACAGAAGATGCTACTGACTAACGAATATCGATATCTGTTCTTGAATATGTTGCGCGCAAAGAATAGCGAAATATCCTGACCACGACACACGAATATCGTCATGTCATTTTCTTCTTCTGATTAAAATGCAGATGCAAAAACAGATATAAGTCCAACCAGAAGACCCATGACTGTATTAAAGTGATTGTTTGAGTGAGTGAGAAAAATTAACATAAACATAAAAATCACTTTGCGTGTGAAGGAAAACCTGGATAAACTACCCTTGGCTAAGTGTTTCTGATAAAAAATGGAAACTATATAAATATGCTGAATTCAGTATACGGCTGACTTGTTTTTATGGGTTTTCCAATGTGAAGACAAACGTAATGCATTTCTTCAAGTATGAGTGAATGAATTAAATTTTAACGTCCCATCGTTATATTCCGCCCAATACGGTCGTTTTTTCATGTAAATTGTGTTTAATCGTGTTACGTAAATATTAATGTTTTACTTCTAATACCTGAAACCAGAGGCAATATTTGTATCTTTAAAAGTCCGAAAACACTTCCGTGTGTAACGGGTGACACCGATGGGGCAGGATACGCTCACCTTTTCGCGAACACCTGGTATCAGTACTATTTCATAGAGATTCATAAACACATGCTCATGATATAGTCGTCTATTTATGCAGAGATTCCTATTAGAAATGGTAAGGGTTTTGTCGCTTTATAATCAGGATAAGAATATTGCATTTGCATCCGTGTGTACTTCTTGATGTCACCTGTATCGGAAAGGAATGTCGTTCATGGAGTGGTTTTTAAATGACAGTTCAATACGCATCGCACTGATAAACAGTCGTAGTGTAAATATTCAGCTTTAAAGCTCGTCACAACAACACCTAGTTCGCTTCCTCACATGAGACCAAGTCAGTCACTAAATCAGTCATCATCTGACGGGAACGAGTGTAGTATTTTGTAAATACACGTCAACACGTTAGTGATGAAATATAAAAGACAGCTTGGATGTAGCACATGTTACATATCAGTTCAAAAACATAGCACCCATAATAATTTGTTCACAGGTCCATAGAATATGAGATAGCATCAGTTGCCGTTCACACTGCACATATGTAAAGCACACCAACAGTGTACGCGTATGTGACAAACCCATTACCACTGATGCACTTTATTGATTTCGAACTTTACTGCGCAATACACACGTACGGTGCACGAAATAACCTGACAACGAAGCATATTATATTCCTCATCTGCTTTTTGTTCCTGCTTGTTAAAGGTCGTACGTTTTGTAAACGATTTTATAGAGCGAAAGTTGGTACTTCAATGCATAGAATTATCCTCACTTACCTATAATTCTTTTGACACGTGATCAGTTAGTTCATGAACAAGTAGTCCAATCTAATGTCAAGTTTAATATTCACGTGGTGGCAGGGGTCTTAGTTACTATATATGTTCATAGTACAGAATGTACTTGGTAGAAGTTACATTATTTCAGTGGAATCAGTTGTTCTGTTGGTGTATATTTAAAATTCAACGTTTTCGTTTCCATGTAACCATTTAAGATGTTGGAAAGTGGCAAACCCATGGATGGCTGTATTTTGTATGGCTGATCATGGATTCATTCACCATTTACGTTGTTCATGTTTGTTTGTTTGTTGTTTAACGCCAGTTATTCCAGTTATATGACGGTGGTCTGTACATAATCGACTCTTGACAAGACATTACATGATCATCGATCCACGCAATTGGGATACGATAACATGCACCAAGTAAGTCAGCGAGTCTGACACCCGATCCTGCTAGTCGCCTCTTTCGACTGGAATGGGTTTCTGAAGATCAATTCTAATCGGGATCTTATAAATATAAGTGTGTTATAGATATAGGTTGAGAGCAATTGTAGTCCATCTTTTACATAAACAACAAGTAAATGCAAGGGCTTGAGTTATATTATTGTATTACACCCTTATGCCACGCAGTATCTGACAAAGTTCACTGTAGATCTGGGGGCGGTCGGGTAGCCAAGTCGTTAAAGCGTTCGCTCGTCACGCCGAAGACCCGGGTTCGATTCCCGACATGTGTACAATGTGTGAAGCCCATTTCTGGTGTCCCCCGCCGTGATATTGCTGGAATATTGCTAAAAGCGGCGTAAAACCATAATACTCACTCACTCACTGTAGATCTGAGAACGATGGCGCAATGAGAAACTTCTTTACCATTCTGAGACAGAGCGTGGACTTGGAAGATGTTGATCCCACACTGAGGACATTTAAATATCCCCGTGTCTGTGTTATATGCGTTGCCAACGTTCAGGAAGATGTTGCTGTTCCGAAGGACTTGGTGACGGGAAAGCGTCATGCCTCAGACCAGTTGAAAAGGCAAGCTGGTATACAGGTTTACCTCTCACAGATGAAACCAACATATGGTTTACTTTACCATAGATGTATGTGGAAATGCGTATTATATGACCCGAGTAAGGGAATGGCCTCTATTCCCCTCGTTTTAGGGGAATTCAACACATCCACTCTGTTTGAAATGATGATTAAACGTAAAATATTCAATTAAGTTATGTTATGTTACTATTTTGTCTGTATCGAAAACAAGAACATTTATCGCTCCTCGGCACAGTAGCTGGTGACTCGCGAAAAATCAATACTGTTTGTAGCGAGTGAGTTGCGATGTTTCGTCAGTCTTCATGCTTCAATTCAAACACAAATTTCACTTTAACAATAGTCACAAGTTTCTCTGTAAAGATGTAAAACTGAAACACTGAACTGATCGATTCGTGAAACAAAGGTGAGCAACTCCCGCCATTTCATGTCACAGACAAAGAGACAGTCTCAAACTATTTTGTAAATTATGTTTCCGACTTTGAAAGTTAAAATATGTTTTACCCATCGTCGCGTGGTCATGCTTGGTGATGCTGATCACTAGATTGTCTGGTCCAGACTCGATTGCTTTTAAGCCGCTGCCCTATGGCTGGACATCGCGGTGTGGACAACAGACAACAAACGATTACCCTTTTTGAAATGAACATTTTTGTGGGTGCCGTATGCTACCAGTAGAGCACGACATACTGTTTTCACCAACATGTGCTGTCATGACTGACTTTCAGTGATCGATGTCATTTTCATCACTATTTTGCCATTTACGCCCGATGAAAACTTTGAAATTTACACAAAATCACACGAATTCGATAGTAATTCTTCACAGCATGCGGGTGGTGTTACAGGTACTATTTTTCTGTATCTCAGAAAACGCGTAGGATTTAGCAGAAGTTTGCTTAAACTTTTATGATACGTATACAGTCTTTAAGGTTAAGTCAAATCAAGATGTGGTAGTGTTAGTATGCAAAAACTAAAAAGAAAAAATATGAGTGACATAAACCTTTATTCCTTTATTATCCCCCGCCCAACAAAGTTGGCGTGGGATATAGAAACGGGCTCCGTCCGTCCGTCCGTCCGTCCGTCCGTCCGTCCGTCTGTCACGTTTCGTTTCCGGAGCATAACTCAGAAACCGTTCAATATTTTTTCATCAAACTTTGAAAGTCTGTCAGGTACATGCTGAACTTGTGCCTTTTGCTATTTAACAATTTTAAATACAGCCACGTTAGTGGCAAACTCTTGTTTTGACACTTTCAAGGGAGGTCATTTAATCTCACTGGACAATTATTTCTGTCAAGCTTATTGATTCTGCTTGTCATACCATTGTGATTTACTTGATTTCATTCATTCTTTGTGTATGAAACCCGCGGAGCGTCTTTGGGCTATTGGCACGATGTTTGTTTGTTTGTTGTTTTACGCCGCACTCCAATTCCAGCTA